AACAAAAGATATCATAAGTCAGCACACAGCTGATTTTCAAATGTATATCATGGGTAGGTGCCAAAGCAAAAAAAAAAAATCACTAGGGAATGGAGTGGGCCGGCAAGGTGGGAATTGAAAGACAAGTTCAGTTTGAGATTGTCAGATAAATGTGGTGTTACTCTAATATGATTAAACTTCGGTTACATTGAAATATCCCAAAACTTTATAGGAAATCAATTTTCAGTTGCTACTTCAAGAAGTAAACACAGGAACATCATATCCTTCTTCCAAAATTGTAGAGAATGTAGGAATCATAATTTAAGATTGTTGTATGGAAATATTAGCATTTCTCCATCTTAAATTTTTTTTTTTACCACCAGTCTAATTTTAGGTTAAAAGTACTCATTTTTCACTTTCTATATGTCTGTTTAGATATCCACATATTCATTCATTCTAGCTATAATCAAGTTCACAACATAGCTAGACACATTCTTATAATGCCAGAACATTAGGATGTTTCCAAGGATACTAAGTCATTACTGTTCCCTGAACTTAATAAGAGGAATAATAATAATAATAATAACAACAACAATAATAGCTAGCATTTAGACAGCACTTTAAACTTTGGAAAGTGCTTTCCATATGCCATCTCATTTGATACTCATAACAATCACATGAAGTAGGTGCCATTTTGTAAGTGAGAAAATTGAGACTGATGGATGTTAAGTTACTTGCCCGGGGTCATACTGGTAAGCAAGCATGTAGCGCAGGATTTGAACTCAAGTCTTTCTAATTCCTAGCCTAGTGATCTATCCATTTCTCTACATAGCTGCCACTTAACCACACATGCAAATTGCCTGACATAAAGTCAGTTCTTAATAAGTGTGTGGTGGATTGGATTTCACTTCAACTTCAAACTCACCTTAGTATTTATGTTGGTTAAGGTATAGCTATTTCTAGAGAGGCAGTACAGTACTGTGGGCAGCAGGCTGACTTTGGAATCAGAAGACATGGCCCACGTTCTGCCATTTGCAAAGTCTATGGCTATGGACAAATCATTTCACCTTACCTTTCTCTGAGTCTCATTTTCCTTATCCGTAAAATGAATGGGTTGGATTTTCTTCCTGTGTAATTTTGGGCACTTAAGCCATCTGGGCTTCAGCTTCTTGAAGGCAGCATAGTACAGTGGAAAGATCAATAAATTTGGAGTTAGAGGATCGAGGTTCAAATCTCATCTCTTACTTAACACCTGTGTGACCTTGGGTAAGTTACTTCAGCTCCTTTGGCTCCAATGTCCTTATCCAGAAAATTAATAAGTGAGACTAAATGGCCTCTTCCAACTCAGTGATCTATGATCGTGATACATGAGATCAGGGGGCTGGTCTAGATGATCTTTAGGATCTTTTCTAGTTCAAAATACTATAATCCTATACAGCTAAGTGGCACAGTAGATATAGCACTGGACCTGGAATCAGGAAGACCTGAGTTCAAATCTGACCTCAGAAATATACTAGCTACGTAATGCTGAGCAAGTCACTTAAACTCTGTCTCAGTTTCCTCATCTCTAAAATAGGGATAATTACAGTACCTTCCTGCCAGGGCTGTTGAGAGGATTAAATGAGATAATAATTGTAAACCCTTAGCACAATGCCTGGTATAGAGTAAATGCTATATAAATGTTAGCTACCACTACTGCTACTACTACTGCTACTGCTACTGCTACTGCTACTATCACTAATTTTGAGCTGAGAAACTCTTAGGTTGAGGCATTGTGACTAGAAGGAATTTGGATCTGTGCCTTTGCTCTGTTTGTCTCTTTTGTCTGGATTATTTTCCCTACTCACCTCTTCCTTTTAGAACTCCTGAATTCCTTTAGGACTTTGCTCAAACCTTATCTTTTGCAGGAAACCTTTCCTGGTCTCCTTGGCTTCTAAAGCCTTCTCTACTAAGGTTACCTTCTATGTACTACATAGGTATCTTGTATGTACCTATTTATTTAGAAGTTACCTTCCCCATTAGAGGATAATCTTTTTGAGGAAAGGGACTGTTTGGAATTTTTTTTTTGTATCCTCAACACAGAGGCTGGCACCTAGTAAAACCTTAACAAATCCTTACTGATTGGTCAGATAATGTCTGGGTTATTGTGTTCAGTTCAGTTTTCCACATTTCAAGAAAGATGAAGAGCAAATCAAGAGATGTTCTCCTAAAATGGTTAGAGTACTAGAGAAATATCATATGAGAAACACTTGAAGAAACTGGGAATGTTTAGTCTACAGAAGACTTAGAAAACATGCTGGTTGCCTTCAAGTATTTAAAGGGTTGTCACTTGGAAGTAGGATTGGATTTGTTCTGGTTGGCTCCAGAGAGTAGAACTAAAAGCAATGATTGAAAGCTGCAGAAAAATAAATGGTAGTTGTTTAGATAACTTTCTAATAATCAGAGCTTCCCAAAGTGAAATAAGTTGCCTCAGGACTTAGTTATTTCTCTATATCAACCAATCAATAACAATTTCACTTTTCACTTCATCTTATTAAGTGAGGGATAAAAAAGATGCAAGCAAAAACATCTGTCCTCAAGGATTTTTCATTTTGTTTGGGGAAACAATATGGACACATCTAAATATAATTCTTCATTTGCCCAGAAAATGTTGGACACAGTTAGAAAGAGTACCTTTATAGAGGTTGAAATAGGTAAGGTGAATGGCTAATGGGAGCCCTGGGAGTCACAAACATAGGAAGTTGGACTCCACCATGTTCACCCTAGAGAACGGACTCCCTTTAGTGAGATCATTTCTACTCTTGGTTTGAGCTCAGATTTTACCTGGCTCTCAGCTGAAGAGCTAATTTATTCCTACAGATTCTTTGGTATATTCTCATCTGTAAAACTCTAATTTCTGTTTGCTGTTTTCCTTGGATTAATGTGTTTACTCAATATTCATGATAGTCTTTTGCCTAAAGATGGCAAAGTATATAAGTGATCATATAACAATTTTCAAGAAATTTATATTACTTTGATTATATAATTAACTATATTCAAGTGGAGGCTTGATAATGACACTTCAGGGATGTTTTACAAGTACAGATTCAATCAGATGACCTTTTACCTCTGAGATTCTATGACTCAATTACTAGGTGATCTCTAAGGTCATTTTCAGCTCCAAATCCTATGTTCCAAGGGTTGTTAGTAAAGTATTGTGTTGGCTTTAAGTCATAACAGAAAGATAAGTTAACTCAAAAACAATCTTAGTATATCACAAACAATGAGGCAGAAAAACACAACTATAATCCTTTACTTTGTTTCTGAAAACTTAACACTGAAGATATTGTTTATCTAACTTGTCCTCAGAAATGAAAATCTGATAATAATGGTGGAGCTGTAGAGTCCTATAAGTATCAGTTCGTAAGTTTATTAATGGTTTGAAAATAAGGAGGTACAACTTTTTAAAAAATTACTCTTTAAAGGGGCAGCTAGGTGGTGCAGTGGATAGAGCACTGGCCATGGAGTCAGGAGGACCTGAGTTCAATTCCAGCCTCGGATGCTTGACACTTACTAGCTGTGTGACCCTGGGCAAGTCACTTAACCCCATTGCCTAGGCAAAAAAAAAATACCCTTTAAAGAAATGAGTGTGGTACAATGGAAAGAGCACTGACTCTGAAGTCAGATGTCCTGGGTTCAGATCTTGTGTATGACACTTACTACCTTTGTAATCATGGGAAAGTCATTTTAATTCTCTGGACCTCAGTTTCTTCATTTGTAAAATGGACTATATGGCCCCAATAATCCTTTCACTTCCAGATCTTTGATTCTATGATTGTCAAGAGCCTAAAGATGGCAAAGTATATATGTGATCAGATAACAATTTTCAACAAATTTATATTAGTTTGGTATACTAAATTTTATGTTACCAGCCTGAATATCTAGTTGTTATCACAAAATCAATATGCTCAAAACTTAACTCACCTTTTCCCCTACTCCTCTAGGTTTCCATCAACCTTCTAGTCAGATTCTTCTTCACTATTCCCATATTGAGCTAGTCATCAAGTATTGGCAGTCCTACTTCCATAAGATTTCCTGCATATATCAACCTCTTTCCACTCCCATGGCTGCTATAGTTCAGGTCAGTCCCTTGTCACCTCTTACCAGCACTATTACATTAGGTTCCTAATTGATTTCCCTGCTTCTAGTCTCTCCCTTCTACATCACTTCCTCCACACAGCTATCAAAATAACCTTACTAAGGCATATGTCTGATCACATCACATTTCTATTAAAAATCCTTAATCACTCCCTGCTATCTCTAGTATAAAACAGAAAGTCCTCATCCTGGCATTTAATGTCATCTCCTCTTGCCCCTCCCCACCCCCCATTTATCTCCAATCTGTCTTTTGAGACTTTTTTCCATATTACCCTCTACCAATATACTTTACATTACAGTCAAACTGGTCTATTTGCTGTCCCCACACTTAGCATTCTATCTGCAGTTTCTGTATCTTTGCACAGGACATTTCCCATTCCCACTCTCTCTGCACTGCTTCAAGGCTCAGCTCCTGTATTCACCTTCACCTTTCCTGATATACTCACCAGTTGTCAATGCTCTCTTCTTATTCTGTATAATACAAACTCTTTAAGGGAAAGAAATCTTTATTTTTTGTCTTTGTATACCCAGTACTCATTTCAGCGTCTAGAAAGAAGCAGGCACTTAAAAATATTAAACTGAATTGAGCTGAAGATATCGTGGTAAGACAAATTCATTCCAAGTTAATAGTCACCCTTTAACGAAAATTGCCATGTAAGTTGCTCATACTAATGGCTTTGATGTGCAAATCGTCCAGATATGATGAATACTGTCTAATCATTTAACCTGAAACCTGTTTTGTGCCCCCTTTTGAATGCTATGATTTACTATTTCACCAAGTCAAAATGGTGCATTATAGGGCTCTGATTCTATAGACGTATTTTTCCAGTACCTCATATTCAAACATTCTCTCAAAGGGAATAACAGTGAAGAAAATGACTCACATTTTGATCCTGAAGAAGAAGTCCCACTTGATGTAGATTTCGATCCCCCTTTCACTGAAAAAACACCTTTGCCTCTACGAGTTGCTGTCACAGCCACACGGGGACGTTTCAGAGGTATCACTGCTCGGGGAGGTGGGGGGACACGCCCGTGGTAATCAAACAACCTTTAACAAATAGAACTCATGCTTAGATCTGGCTTACTACTAGCATATTCAATCAATTATTATGTATCTATGTATACATATACATATGTGGTATATATTTATTTTGTATGTATTTTCTTTATACTTATGCATACACATGCTGTCTCTAGGAATGTAAGTTCCTACAAGGCAGCGACTCTCATTTTTCTTCTTGTATCTTCAGTAATTAGCACAGTACCTGGCACATAGTAGGTGCTCAGCGCATACTTGCTGCTTAGCAATGTACTGTTGGTCACAATAAATATCAGAAGAAGTCTTTGAACTTTAGTCTTCCTGACTCGCACTTGGGCGTTTCTCAGGTATGTAGGTTTCCCTTTGGGTGTTTGTAACATAATGTTGCTCAGATGCTGAGAATGGTCTAGGTAATTAATGACAATACATAATATTTATATAACATCATATCCTTTCAGATATTTTCACTATATGTGTATGTATTCACACACACATGCACATATAAACTCTATAGTGCTTATGTTTGGTTAGATAAAAATTCTATAAATGGTATAGAAAATATACAGAAAGTAGTAATTCCCACACTTATTGGAACAGACAATGATTTGATGTGGTTATAATGTGCTATAAATATTAGGCATTATTATCACTTAGTGTGCATTAATCTTCCGTCTGTTTCTCTGTACAATGCTTATGTTCACCACTCTTTGTGGTGAGCAGGGTAGGTATTATTATGTTCGTACAACAAATGAAGAAACTACAACACAGAGAGGACACATTCAACATTTTGTCAGTGTCATACAGCCAGCTGATGAAAATGCTTTGTTAGAAAGCAGAATTGGGATGAAAAGTCCCTAGAAGTTTACTTGCAAATTAACAAAAGTATCTTATTGCCAGCAACTATGGCAAACATATTTTCTCCTTGAATAGCTTAACATGTACAAAACAGATACCCTTCTACGTATATACATACCATTCACGGATGCATATAGTTTGTGCTGTTATATCATTTCTGAAGAAAAAAGAAACATCAACCCTGATAAAGGGCAGGAGGAAAAAAAATATTTTATTGAGCCTGGAACTTACTTAGTTGTCCAGAATGTGAAACTATCCCCCAGTGAACCAGATGTGTAACTAGACAATCAACTCTAAAGATAATAGTGTTATTGATTTAAGAAATACAATGGTTACATATAACATTGTCCTCCCATTATATAAATTAAATTCTTGTACTATCTCTAAAAATAGACAATCAATAGCAATAATCCAATGTCATGGTGAGCAAGAGAGAAAAGACAGGAAAAAAAGAAAAGCCTTATATAACATATTAGTACAGGAGATTAGTTTTCTCTTAGGCATAAAAATGAATGATACAGTAATTCCACTTAAAAAAAATCCTTTCATGATAAGACACTCTGGGGAAAATTTAAAAACATCATTACACAATGGAAAAAAGGAATATATAAAGCCAATTTTAAAACTGCCAGACATAAATCCAAAGTACTTAGAGATTTTCTTATATGAGAGGTAAAATGTTCTGAAATGGAATAAACACATTCTGTGGAAAAAGCTGAGAGATATTTGGAAGGGAAGAAAGATGAAATAAGATAGTTCAAGAGGGTCAAGTGTCTCTGTGAGGTCCATTACAGCTAAGATATCATTATCATTGGATTTGATATGAAAGTCAGTATATTACTGTTTGGGAAGATGAGGTTGGAAAAGGTGATAAAGGCCACCCATGTCTATAAGGTCTTAAAGATATAAAAAGATAAACTAAACCCACTCCTAATTTCAGTCACATAAAGTCTTTTATATTTCTTTTTTTAAAGCCTTTTATATTTTATATGTCATGAATACAACCAAATATTATCATGCTCTCATGAATTCCAAACCATACAGCTACAAGAAGAGGACTATGGCAATAGACATATGCAAGACTCAGCTCTCTCCAAGTGTGAAAGACTCAGGTCTCTACAATGCAACTTAAAAAGTTCAACAAGCTACATAAATGGATTTTTTGAAATTCCTTTTCAGCCCAACCAGTATGTATTTTGGTCTAGGAATGAAGAAGCATGTCCAGGCAAAACTCCATATTCTTACACTTCAGAAGTAACATAATATTTTGTAGGAGTGAAGGAAATGAATATTAATACTTCCAGAACTCAGTTTGTCCAGGATTATAAAGTGTACCACCCAAAGTAGCTGAATCCAATCTTGTACCTGAAGCAGCAATTATGCCTTTTCTTTGGAGGGGCAGTATTCTCCTTAAGTTATAGTTATTGGCCATCAGAAATGAGGACAGGAACCGCTTGGTTTTTGCTTTTGTCTCTTCGATATTTAGCACAGTGCCTGGCATACAGTGGATATTTAGTACATGTTGTTTTTATAGATTCAGAAATGACCTTCATCCTAAATATATTGGTACTACCTTGCAAAGAGTGACTCAGAATTCTTCTCATCTCAAAATCAGATTTGTGTCTAAAGATTTCTTTTCAATAATCCTGGTAGTAAGGCACACATGATCTTAAAAGCAAAAAACAGTTTTGGTAAAGTCAATTTTCTTGCCTAAAATTAATTATGAATATATATGTATATGTGTATATATACATAGATCTATAAATATGTGTATATGTGTGTGTATACACACATATATGTATATAAATATGTGTGTATACACACACGATTATATATAATGTGACCAGCAAATAAATACATACTCTGTGTGTGTGTGTGTGTGTGTGTGTGTGTGTGTGTGTGTGTTTATGTGCTGGTCACATTGTTAATAGGTAAGTGGTTTCATTTACCTGTTGCCCTAGGTTAAGAATTGTACAAAACTTAAGTGAACACAAACTATTGTGGTGGTTGACTCATAAACTGGGGTACTAGAGAAAGCAGCATGGCATGGCTCTGCTACTCACTAACTGAATGTCCTTGGGTGAATCACTTTACCTCTATTTTATAGTTTCCTTATCTGTAAAGTAAGGGGTGGTCCTTAGAATTTTAGAATTGCAAAGAATCTAATGGATCATCTAAGAAAGACCACATGGCATTGGAAATATAGTGCTACATGAGGATACCTAGGTTAGCCTCCCACCTCAGGTACTTAACACTTAGGTAAACATAAGCATTTCATTTAATAGCTCCAGAGCCTCCTTCCTCATCTACTTCATGTGTTTTTTGGGAAGAAGAAGCCTAACATAATTCATATAAGCTCTTAGGATTCCCACTTTTCTCATGAATGAGTCTCATTTCCCAAAGGAGGTTTACATCTCTCCTTTATGGTTCTAGGAGTACCCAGGAGGAGTCAGAAGTGATTCTCTAATTCAATCAACTAGAGCCCCTATTAGTGTACTCTCACCTGAAGTTATCAGAGGAGAATTATTTTATCAGTCAGCATTAAGTAGCTTTTAGAAAAAAAGGTATTTACAAGGTGGTGCAGTAAGAACTGTTTGTACAAAAACATACACCCAAAGGTCTGTGGCATATTCTACCAGAAGTACATACAGAATCCATGGGTAAGGGGGCTCAAGCTTAAAGCACATGTGGAAAAGGGGTTTACTCACAGCTTCTGGTTGCTGAAGGTCTTTCTCTCATTTGTGGGGTTCTCAAAAAGTGCCCTTAGGTTTAATATAGTTTCTTTACTGGGTTTCTTATAGAACCAGGAATCTATGACCAGCGTGTCTTTGGCTCCATATATAGACATTGTTGACATCTGATTTGGGGAGACCACTAAAATACCAATGGGAAGACCTGAAGTCCAAAATCCTTCGGACCCTTCAAACCTCCTAAAATCCTCCTCCAGTCAAAAGGAGAGGAAAACAATGAGATCTGGTCAAAATTGAAGGCAAGGTCTCTCCTCTCTACTTCTTCCAGACCAGCACCACATCCTGACCCTCAATCCAGACTAATAGTGGTTCAGTGGCTCGGGAAAGCCACTCTTGCTCCAACCTCTCAAATGACCCCAGTTCTAAACTAGCTTTATAGATGAACTACGAATCATGACTAAGATTCCTTGGCCTATTTAAACCTTTCTTCCTGTGTAAGGTCATTGCAATTCCAAGTACATTAGCACTTTATCTAAAACCCATGATTGAAAGTGATTGGTTGATTGGATATCTTATTACTTATTTTAAGTGAGGTGAAATAACTTGATTGAATAAATCAATCAACCCAATTCTTACTTCTCCCCCAAATTTTAAAATTGCTATTCTCAGAGAGTAAGAATATATCATATGTTGGAGGTAACTAACCAATTAATAAGATGGGAAAGTATTTCTAAGTATATATACTTCCATTTGGACCAAGGCAGAAACTTTCAAAATGTTGCTGAAAGACATGTTAGCTTTTTATTAAGGTAAGTATTAAGAAATCTAATACAATGCCTTTTCATCTTCAAGGGGCCCCACAATCTGAATGTTTCAACCATAACCTGGTGAACATGTTAGGTGCATTGAGACCAGCAGGAATGAAAATCTCAGCACAGCTGATATATGACTATCTTAGAATATGTGTGCAGCTCTACCAGGAATGATGCCACTGGCTTTACACTTTGTTGGTGTTTAAGAATCAGTCATACCTACCTATTGATTTATGTTTTGGAGTCTGTGAAGAGATTCACGCAACCAATGTATCTCTCAACTGAGAGAGAAGACAAAAGAAACTTACCACCTACTAGAACTTTGGCCTAGAAGAACACTGAAGTAAATAAACAATGACATGATGTGTGAGTTCACTGTCAAGACCTTCAAGGCAGTGACAGATTTCTACTGAGAAATCTTGGTGTCCATGGGACACACAACTTGGTGGATGGAAAGCCGCTCGACGCATAGCAGTGGAGAGACTGAGTAAGTTGTCAGTTTACAAAATAGTTCCAGAGGATGGTGGCAGCCCTGAAAATACTGTTCACTGAAATCACTGATTGCCTTTAGGTGAGTTAGTTGGACTCCCTGTTGCATGAATTGAGACTGATATTCATTCATTTCTGCAGACTCTACTCTCAGCTAATAATA